GTATTCTTAACTTCTTTTTTTTTTTTTTTTTTTTTTTTTTTGTCTAGAGGTGAGTAACCTTACCAGAAAATGTATTTCAGATAGATACTCACCTCTGCATAATGTCCCATCCCATCCTTCCTCCCCACTTCCAGTGGATATCTTTGCCTTGTCAAGGATGAACCTTTATTCAAATGCTATTGCTCATTGGGATTATTTTGCATATAGGATGTGTTATCCTCCTATTGTGGAGGACTGTAGTCTAATAATGATTACACCATAGGCTGGAGCAGTACAAATTAGTATGTTTAAGGGTGGGAAATTCGATGAAGACTTGTGGCATGCACAAAAACCTTCACAGCAAGTAAAAAGAAATATTGGTGACAGTGAGTTCAGGTCATGTCCTGATATATTATAACTGCTTCTTGATTTTTTCTTTTTATTTACAAAGGTAAATGTAGGTATTTTCAACATAGTTTTATTTGACATAAAATATCCTAGCATCACTTGAAAAGTGCCTTTTTTTCTTGTATTTATAACTATTACAAGGTTCAACCTCCCCTTTCAATTTTTGTTGAAGGGAGGTTTTTTATAGGGTTTACGTCATTGAAGAAGTACTAAATGGACATGATTTACATTTTGCAGTTAACTTATGGTCCTTGGGCCAACATTCCACTTCTTGTTGTTTTCGTAGTCTGATAAGTGCATGATTTTTTGAAAACAAGTTTTGAAGATTGATGCATGCCACTAGTATATATACATTATGGACTTACAGAACTCACAAATGCAGATTGTCAAAATCCAGTGCTTATATCAGCCAATCTTGGGCATGTCAGCACCGATGACATATTTCACTCCACTCAGGCCACAGGATGAATGACCACTTGTGTTATATCAAGTAATATTGGTAAAGCAGTTGTTCCTTTGTTGCTGAAACATGTTTTTCATACTAAATAAAGCTATATTTAATACCTTACCTTCCTTAGTTTATATCTCAGTATCTTTTTCTCTGACATATTGAAATGGACAATTAATTCAATAAATAAATTAATATAGTTTCACGATGAATGATGTAATATGCTATTGAGATACTGGTTCATAATGAAGGAATAAGCATCTGGTTTAAACCAAGACTAATGTGAAGCCAAACTTTATTTATTAAAATAAAAACTTAATATTCTTTCTCAAATAAAATATTTATTTAATGACACAAAGCAGCTGATTGTTAAAAATGTAAATTACAGGCACCTCCAGTCATATCCTGTACAGCGGCTAGGGTTTCTTAAGTGTCCAAATTGATGTTGCCAGTGTTCTGGGGCAAATTTCTATGAGTACGTACCTTACACAAACATATAATAATTTCTAAATGATAGACTATGGACAGAGCTTTCCAAGCATATAATATGTTGAGTTTGTGTTAAGTTTTTCCAGCACACCAAGAAAATAAACAATGGTGGGGTTTTAAAAGTAGCATATCACCAGCAGAAAAATTTAATTTCAAAGCAATAACACAAACACAAAAATTGTAATTATGACACAAGCCTTTCTTGTGATTAATTAGTAAACATTTATCTTTTGAAAATTTATTAGCTGATTGTCTCATTACTTTTTCACATATAAAAATATTTAAAATAACATATTTCCATAATCATGTGTTCTTCTTTATGGTTGTTAATTATCAAGACAGTAATTACAAATTTTTAAATAAATAAAAATATTATAGCCTAAAATCAATCCAGGAAGTATATAATTTGATTTGATCATACCCCAAACACATGGTATTAAGAGATATTTCGGGTACATCCATTTGGAGCTTGTAATAAAATTAGTTTTTTAAGCATGTGATCTCCTTTACGTGTAGATACTCAAATTATGTCATTTTGTTATATCATTATACACGACAGCCAAGACATTTGTTGTTCTAAATAACTGAAAGGGTAAGAGTAAATTGCATTCTTCAATAAAAATCACTGAACATGAAACACCTTTATTTCAGTGTTGCTTCACAGGGGAATATATAGAGTGCATAATGCTTTTCCCACCATATTTAATTTCCACCATGTGCAGATGATTTGGATAGGGTGGAATTGAAACATATTATTCACAAATCAGTTCATTTTCCTGCAATAAAAGTCCTTGAAAGTGGGATTACATAACAGGTGTGTATCTTTTTAACTGTATAACTTACATTCAAATGGTGTGGATGGTGGTAATTTTAGGTTTAAATGATTGATAAATTACAATGCTACATGTGTGAGTGATAATTAGAGGACTATTTATAAAAACAGATAATTGGGGACATGGTAAGATGCATGTAAAGGAGTTTACAGAACAGGTAAAAGAGATCGTCATTTTAATTCAACTCCTTATATATGCTTTGCGCTTCTTAGTATAATACTACATTATAATAAGAGCTTGCATTTATGATCTGTGGATGTAGTCTAACACAAAATAACTATTCTTATTAGCCTGCTATAGCTGGATTTACTGTACAAATGTAAAGGAGATCACATGAATTTCTACACCTGTTTTTGCTAATGTACAGAGGTGGAATGTATTTTGGTGATGGGTTTCATATTTGTATTTTTAGAATGGATGGTAAACAAAAGCGTCAGCTGAAATATCTCAGAAAAAAGGCAGCAGAAGGGAAAAACCTTCTTACGATGTGTTTGCCTTTTTATTCTAGGTACGATATAATCTGGTAAAGGAGAACACATGAAAAACAGTAGTCATCTGCATCAAGGTGGAAAAATGTGACAGAATGTTTCCCAAGTGATAGATTTTTAAAAATATGACAGAATGTAGCCCGATTGATAGGTTTTTGCCACAAGGTTTTTCAGTAGTTATATTTTCAAGAACTGTATAAATCATACTTATAGGAGAAGATTGTTTTTCAACATTTTCCAGTTGAAAAATGGACACTTAAGAAAGCCATGACTGAAATCCCATGTCAGAGTAAAAAGTGAAACACCACTATCAAATACATTAACTGCAGTAAAAGCTTGTATGGTCTTCTAAGTATTATACACACACACAAAATTCGTCATTTAACCATATCATAAGTAACGAGAATTAACATTACATAAAAGTACAGTACTAATTAATACTAAAAATGCATATGCATCTCATGACCTGCCTATTAGGATTTATAACATTTTAAAACAATGGGAGGTGTTGCTTAAAGGGGTGAATACAGTATAGTCTAAAATCAATCACAAAATGTTGTATGAAATTTACAATGAACTGAAAATGTAGTGTAAATTAGCAAAGGTATGAAATATATAATGAACACTATAGTATAAATCAGTTAGAAAATGTGTTTCAGACAGGTGACTCTTGAAGTAAAATCCTTTGAATATTTCTCCAAGGCCCAAATAAATTTCAGAGGCAACAACCCTCCACCAATAGGAGTACGACACATCATCCTAGCACAGCTGACTTTCTCTGTACTGAAGTGTACAATCATCACTTTACAACTTGGGATTGCAGTTTGTGACTGGCTTTTTTTGGCTCTATCCCAACAAGCCTCCCGTGGCCATACCCTTCCTCTTTTTTTTTAGGAGTTGGCATGTTTGGGTTTGCTGATCAAACTGAAAAGCTGCATCTCACACCCACTTAGTACCTTATTCATTTGGATGTGTTTTTCAATTCTCACACCAACAGGGCCTAACCTTCTAATTTTCGTTTACAAGACATAGACTGCTTAGTTTCCAAAGTCATAACCTCTCTTTCTCTCACTGCACGATGTGTCCCTGACAGGGTTGGGGTCATAATGTTGAATTGATTCTTCATATCAGTCTTTTGGAGCTGCTGGTGATATGTTAGGGTTTGGGTCATTTCTTTTTGATTGTCGGCAAGCATCTCATCGTTATCAATTTGATAAGTTTACCATTGTCTGTTATATCAGTCATCAAGAGGGAACTTGATTTTTCTCTCTCTGCTGTCACATATTAAACCTCCTCTTCTGGGACCATTCATGACAAGTTTGTCTTATTGCTTGTCATATCCCAGGCACCCTGAATCTTGTTGCCAATTTTCTTTCTCGACCCAATTAGATTTCTCCCAACAAAGTAGTCCCTCGATCCTCGGGTGTTCCAATGGCTATGCTCCCAGATAGGCACTCCCCCTTCTGGATGCTTTTCCACTCACCTCATTGCCAATCATCTCTTTTTCCACATTGTACAGCTGTGGCTGTGGACACAGTCAGACTAGTCTAACCTTTATCTTTACACCTACCCTGCTATTCATCTTCTCCCTGGGTCCTTTCCCTTATTCAGGCTACTCCATATTGGGACCTTCTCATCATTTTTGTGGTTTCCTCTATTGAGCCTTCTCCAATCCTCTCCTCCCCTTCATCTGCCTCTATCATGAGCCCTCTTTCTTCGACTATGTTCCTATCTTGTTCATCCAGCAGTATCCACACTTCATCTTCATGTGTTGGTTTTGTCTGGTCCCTTGTGACACACTCCGGACCATCTTCATGTGTAGCTTTCCTTCTTTATTGTTCCATTCATTCTTCTTCCCTACTTGTTTACCAAGTAAATGGTGCATTTTCTGTTGTTGGTCTTGGCATCTTGGCTTCTCCCCTTCTGGACCTTCTGCCCCCCACCTTTTCGGAATTTTTTACTTGACTTTTTCTACCATTGCAGGCTATAAGGATGTACTGTCAAATACCTTTTGTTTTTCCCATTCTCATTGTCTGTTCTCCTCACCTGCTCTTTCTTGATCCCTTTGCCTTATTCGTCCTACCATCCTCTCAGATCAGGATCTGAATATTGTTCACCATGCCCTTACCCTCCTTTTGAAACTTTAGCCTCTTGTTCTTTTTTTACCATATTTCCCTTAAGACCTATTTCTTGCTCCTTTTTGCTTGTAGGTGTCAAAGAACAGACATATATGCTTTAGATGTTTCCCATATCCTTTACCATCATTCATATATATTCTACTTTATCCAAATTGTGCTCTTCTCCCAAAAACTCTGCAGTGTAGGAGGGAAACAGCACATTCACTCTTATCTCTCTTCCATCCATTGCTTCTCTTTATTGCCCCCCAGTGGCATAGCAGTATGTCTGCAGACTTACAACACTGGAAACTGGGTTTCAATGCCTGTGGTAGGCAGAGAACAGATAGCCCATTGTGTAGCTTTGTGCTTAATTAGAAACAAACAAACAAATTCTCTCTATTTTAATTCCAATCCTGATCATTATCATTATCCCATGTGGTCAATTTGCTGTTACATGTCTCACACTTCTCCTCTGTGTGGTTCCCCCCTCCCAGCTCTTTATTCCTAGGTACTCCTTTTCTAACCGTGATCTTTCTACTATATACTGCTTTGTACGTGGATTCATCTCAATTTTTCTGGGTCTCCTCTCACCAAGTTTATCATCTTTCCTCCTCTCTGTTGACTTCCATTAGCTGTTGGAAGAGATCATGCAGGCTAGCATTTGAACTATGCCTCATACATTTGCACACATTACCATTATCTTCTGGCCATCTCTTCTTCCTCAAAATATCGTTTGCCACCCATCACCATTCTCCATACCTCTTACTGACTCTGAATGGCTAAGTTTTTTTTCTATATATCTTACTTTTACAGACTCCAATTTTAACATCTCAGGATCCTGCTGAGTGGCATGCAATGCATGCCAGGGTATACTTTGGTTTAAATCTGCATCACGCAGCCATTCAGGTCTGAAACTCTCACTGATGAGATGGGGTGTTCCACAAAACTACTGGAGATTTCCTTGCTTCCTCACAGTATATTGCTTCTTAAACAAGGCCCAATCAAGACTGTGCCAACTCATGTACTCTTGTGAGTAAAGCAGTGTTGGGAATGCTGCTCATCCCGCCAGTCCTAGTTGAATAAACCTGGACTGGCTTGATTTTTAAAATAGGTTTTGAGGTCACCCACTGCACTCTCTTAAGGTGTTGCATTCTTCTGAGCTCCCCAGTGCACTTTCACCCTCCTCTTCTAGAGAAGTATGGGAGTCCTTGCCACTTACCAGTTCCAAACCACTGGGGTAGTGTACTATGGAGTCTTCCTCCTGAGTGTGAACACTTCCACTAAGTAGAGAGTATGGAAGTGGTGCCTGGTTTTGGACTGGAAATATTCCACCAGACATAGTTCACATCTCTGGCTGGCTTTCCCCCATCCTACTGCTGCCTAGATATTGGATATGATGAGCCAACATAAGTCCTCACTTGTGCATTTGGTAGGGGCCTCCTCCAACCATGGGCCAGAAAAAAAATTCTTGATTTTGGACTGTGGTTGAACCACCTTGTTTGCTTACCCCTATCCTACCTTTGCTAGGTCACCCAAGAACCCTGATGTTGAATGAATATTGAGTCAGTACACATGGATACTACCTCAGATGGCAGAATGGAAGTTCCGTTTCTCTTCTGCTTTCAGATGTGGAAATAAAGATGCTCAGGATCCTCCTCCTACAACAGAATGAATGAAATCTACCTGGCACCTGGTTTTGGACTGGAGTTGACCCCCTATATATGGTCTAATGCCCTAGCCACACTACACCATAAAGCACATCTATTTTCCATACTGTGTTTCTGGACTTACTTTGCCTGATTTCGAAACACATTTCTTCACCATGGGGAAAGAGTATTGTTACGACAGCAGAACTCGCGTGATGCTGGGAACATACATGCTGAAGTTTCTCAAATTATCAGGGAACCCCGCGAATATCCGAGTGTTTGCTAGATGCCCTTTTTTTTAGTATATAACCCTGGCAAAGAAAGCCAACAATATAGATAGATAATTAAAGAAGCGAACAGTAGTAATGAGAAACGTATTGACTATAAAATTACAATGAAGGGGTGTCATCTAGGGAACTTTTGCACCTGACCCTCCACCACTTGAATGTGGGATTTTAGCTATTATGTGAGAGGAGAAAACGTATCATATCAGAACTTAACATTTTCCAAAACGGAAAATGTATTTTCAATAGATACTTAATTCTGCCCACCCATCCTCCCCACTTCCAATACATCTTTACTTGCCTAATTTCGAAGTAATGGTTATACACATCAGTATAGAGGAAGTCAGCTGTACTAAGAGGATGTGTCACACTCCTATTGTTGTTGCTCATTTGCATGCTACAGTGCAGTAATCCCATGTGAATATATATGAATTTAGGTGAGAGCCTCAAGGCGAGTGGCGAGCAAAAAATTGCCTATATAGAGGTTGCCACAAATCAAGGAAATCTGTTTTGTGAGAAGAGGTATCTATTGGAAATACATTTTCGATGTTGAAAAATGTTAATCTTCTTGTTTTTTGTGTATATTTTAAGATAAGTAGTTTTAATTGTCTGTTACAATCTACAGTCATTCTAGAAAAGAAAGGTATGTTGATTTTATTTCATGTTTTTTTTAACTTTTGCTATAGATGATTTTGCTACACTTAGTGTTAGGATAGAGAAAACATGTGATAAAGTATAAAATTTTACAGAGAAAAAACTTACAATATTCATTAAAGAGATTTTAGTGGTTATGCAAATAAAATATGAAAACTGTAAGATGACAATCACTTTTTATTCAAACTGACTCAGTAAAGGCTTCATAAATTCACAAACAAATTTTTAATGAACATACTTTATTAAAAAAGACCGATTTTTTGTGTAAATCAGTTTTTTCACCCTTACTAAAACCCAAATGTTTTGAAGATGTACATAGTGAATTCAGAATTATAATAAAAATTAATTGTCCAGTACAGACATCAGTCAGGTTGACTAACCCATGCACATAGGGTTAACTTGTCAGAATTAATATTCACCTAACATTGATTCAGACACTAGATATGTGAAAACCTGGAGCTTTTTGATGGTGGGGTGGCAACACTTAATTCATCACCTATGCCTCTACCTCTTTACCCCACTTAGATAATCCATGGCACTAAGACCCACTAAATACTGTAATAAATAATATTTATGCCTTTAAAACTTATTCAGGGCCACCTTCAGTATCATGATATGCCCCAGATTTTTATAATAGATAAAGAATTCCTCCTTTGTCAAGTAACTATGCAAAAATAACAGTTAAAAAAAGTATCCACCAGATCCTACTAAATGGTAGAACTGTTTCATAAGTTTCATTTGGAATGTTGGCTTTGCTCTCAGAGATTGTCCTAAACTCTTCTTGCAACAAAATTAGAACTTGCTTCACTCTCAAAGATTGTCCTAAACTCTTCTTGCAATGAAATCAGAACTTGCTTTGCTCTCTAAGATTGTCCCAAACTCTTTTTGCAACAAAATTAGAACTTGCTTTGGTCTCAGAGATTGTCCTAAACTCTTTTTGCAAGAAAATTAGAACTTTCTTTGCTCTTAGAGATTGTCCTAAACTCTTCTTCAACAAAATTAGAACTTGCTTTGCTCTCAGAGATTGTTCTAAACTCTTCTTGCAACAAAATTAGAACTTGCTTTGCTCTCAGAGATTGTCCTAAACTCTTCTTCAACAAAATTAGAACTTGCTTTGCTCTCAGAGATTGTTCTAAACTCTTCTTGCAACAAAATTAGAACTTGCTTTGCTCTCAGAGATTGTTCTAAACTCTTCTTGCAACAAAATTAGAACTTGCTTTGCTCTCAGAGATTGTCCTAAACTCTTATTGTAACAAAATTAGAACTTGCTTTGCTCTCAGAGATTGTCCTAAACTCTTCTTCAACAAAATTAGAACTTGCTTTGCTCTCAGAGATTGTTCTAAACTCTTCTTGCAACAAAATTAGAACTTGCTTTACTCTCAGAGATTGTCCTAAACTCTTCTTCAACAAAATTAGAACTTGCTTTGCTCTCAGAGACTGTCCTAAACTCTTCTTGCAACAAAATTAGAACTTTATAAACACTCCTCCTCACCTTGAACAAATTTGTCAGCTCAGAAATCTTTTCTATTCCTACATATATAAAACTATTTGAGTTTTTAAACACTTTATCTATGTTCCTTTCTCCATGATAACATCTCGTTATGATCTTTTCTGATCACTTTATCGATGTTCCTTTCTCCATGATAACATTCTCGTTATGATCTTTTCTGATCACTTTATCTATGTTCCTTTCTCTGTTATAATATTCTTATTATGATCTGTTCTGATAACTTTATCTATGTTTCTTTCTCCATTATAAGATTCTCATTATGATGTGTTCTGATCACTTTATCTGTGTTCCATAAAACCATATTAATAATAATTTATTAAAGACCAGCTATCAAAGTGTGTTGCTAAATATTCTCTAATATTCTATGTAGATTCCTAAAAGTTTCTTGTAGCAAAAGTCAGACTAATATATGTCATATTCAACATATTAAACCCTTTCTTTTATAAAGTAGTTACCTTAGTAGAAATCTCTCACTCATCAGTTACAACAGTTTCTAAAAATATGTGTTCAGCTTCTGGTGGTCTCCTATTTGGCTTTTTTGTGTGTAGTTCAGGTAAATCTCCTTGTACCAGTTGTATTATTCATCTGAAGAATCAAAAGTTTTGTTTTTAAAACAACTTTTTATTTAATTAAAATAAATTATTTTACCAATTCATAAACATGTTGGACAGTTTAAGGATCTCATCTTTTACTTTATTGGTATATTAGTATCAGAACTAATAAATATTAGCAGAGCTACTAAAAATCATCTTTATTCAAGACAAAATATCAGAACTAAGAATTATTTTTTATACAAAATCACAGTACAGTGTAACATACAATTTGTACTTTTATTTAAAACTTGCAATTTTTCCTAAATTCATTAGTTGAAGACATCAACCGTTAATTGGAAAGTTTTGTTTCTTATTTGAATTGTAAAGATACTAGGTATAATCTCTAATATCATACATAAAAGGACCTTTTGTGTATTATAATGGTGACCTTATTATAGACATTCATGTACAGTAATGTGACTAAAACATTAAGACATTTTTTTAGTAACTATGATACTTTTCAAGAATAATGATTCTTAGTAATTCTGATATTATTTGAAAAATTATGATGTTTAGCAGCTCAATAATTCTTAAAACAATATCTGAGCTACTAAACACTATTAGAGATACTAAACACCATCATTCTTAAAACACTATTAGATACTAAACACCATCATTCTTAAAACAATATCTGAGCTACTAAACACTTAGAGATACCTAACACCATCATTCTTAAAACAATATCTGAGCTAATAAACACTATCATTCTTAAAACAATATCTGAGCTATTAAACACTATTGGAGATACTAAACACCATCATTCATGACACTATCAGGGTTACTCAACACCATTCTTAAAACAATATCTGTGGTACTAAACATCATCATTATTAAAGCAGTATCTGAGATATTAATAATATAATTCTTATAGCAATATCTGGGTAACTTTTCATTGACATAATTTCACAGATACTAAACAATACTGTTGTAAAAACAATATCGGTGTTTAGTAGCTCAGATATTGTTTTAAGAATGATGGTGTTTAGTATCTAATAGTGTTTTAAGAATGATGGTGTTTAGTATCTAATATTGTTTTAAGAATGATAGTGTTTAGTATCTCTAATAGTGTTTAGTAGCTCAGATATTGTTTTAAGAATGATGGTGTTTAGTATCTAATAGTGTTTTAAGAATGATGGTGTTTAGTATCTCTAATAGTGTTTAGTAGCTCAGATATTGTTTTAAGAACAATGATGTATATTATTTCTGATTTCTTCTCAAACATAATGGTATATAATAAAGTAGCTTTGGTTTCATTTCAGGAATGGCACTGAACAAGCTATATTTTCTACCACTAGCAGTATTTGTTCTCCTACCTGCAACTTTTATAATTACGTAAGTTGTATGCATGGCATTACAATCACCTTTATACCATGTACAGAACTTAAACACATTATTAGATGCTTGTAATTCTACTGTAGGACAGTAGGTAACCCTAGTTGATCTTCTTACATTAATAAAAGAAATAAAAATAACATGTGCATAACATAAATAAGTAAAGCTACAGTTTGTATCTACTGATGTATGCTGTTTTTATTTTAGCAAAGTTATGGCAAATTGTTGATTTAGACTTGTAAAATCATTAACTGTATATAATATCAGTGTTACAGTAACTCGCATGCAATGAATCTTGTTTGAGTGTTTTACTTGTTAGTTCGTCAGTTAGAATTCATGATCAGAACAATATCTGATCTACTTTAGTATGTTACATGAACCTTCATTTCTATAAATTGTATTAAAAATTGTGACAAAATATTTGTTAGTGCAGTAAGACTTGCATGAAATTAGGTGTTAACGAATTATAAGATATAAGAAATAACATAAATAGAGAACTGTGTCAAGAACTAGTGAGTAGGGTTTCTATTGAAAATGTTTCTCTCTGTGCAAGCACAATGTGCATATATTTTATATGGAAAGGTTTTACATACTGGAGTAACTAATTAAGTCTTCAGCAGTAGATATTCTCTGTAACATTTTGTTTGCTATGTAGCTCAAATGCCAACAATATATAGCCTCCAGTTCTCAGTTCTTTATATATGATTAATGCATACTATAAACTATCATAACAGCATGGAAATGGAACATTGTGTTGGACTAACTCTGCAGTAAACAAGGGTATGCTGGGAATTATAGTTCATACCTTATGATAGATTCAAATCTTATGTCAAAATCTACGAATAAAAATTGTTACTTTTTTGTATAAGACATGAATGTAATGTATGTATATATATATACATCTTCAAAGAAATACCTGATGAGAATTGTCACTTTTCGGTGTAAGATATGAATGTAATGTATATATATATACATCTTCAAAGAAATACCTGATGAGAATTGTCACTTTTCGGTGTAAGATATGAATGTAATGTATATATATACATCTTCAAAGAAATACCTGATGAGAATTGTCACTTTTAGGTATAAGACATGAATGTAATGTGTATATATACATCTTCAAAGAAATACCTG